AAGTGGCCCATACAGGTCTCGAACCTGTGACCTTCGCGTTATTAGCACGACGCTCTAACCAGCTGAGCTAATAGGCCCACGTCAACAACATTACCATGATAAATTTTATTGTTTTTTTACCGCATTGCACCACATCTCACCCTTGAATGCACGACCAGCCACATCTTCAGCACACCCATGAGCTTACCCTCCGCCCACACCTCCACCAGCTCAAGCCCCCCGCACCTCACTGCATCACACCACACTTTACCGCACTGCACCTCATCTCACCTTAAAAATGCAGCACCAACAGCAGCTTCAGCAAATCCAGGTGCTTCTCCTCCACCCACACCACCAGCTCATGTTCCCCGCACCTCACCGCATCTCACTGCACTTCACCGCAATGCACCTCATCTCACCTTAGACTGCACCACCAGCAGCATCTTCAACACATCAATGTGCTTCCCTTCCGCCCACACCTCCACCAGCTCATGCCCCCCGCTGCCAAAAACCGCCGCCCAGCTGTCCGCTACAGCCGGCAGCTGTGCCGGCCCTGGCCCGTGGAATGGGCAGCCTGCCAGCTCAGCAACTGTCGCGTCAGCAAGCAAGTCCAGCATGGCGTCCCAGTGGCGGTAGTCCCAGCCCTTCAAGTACAGGCTGGACTTCAGCTCCAGTGCCACCTGTCAGTGGAGAGGGATGGAGAGCGGTGGAGAGTGGTAAGCAGTGGTGAAGAGTGGTGAAGAGGGATAACAGTATATGGTATTGAGTCAGCAAGCAGGTCCAACATGGCATCCCAGTGGCGGTAGTCCCAACCGTTCAAGTACAGGCTGGACTTGAGCTCCAGTGCCACCTGTCAGTGGAGAGGGATGGAGAGCGGTTGACAGTGGTAAGGAGAGGTGAAGAGCAGTGAAGAGGGATAACAGCACGTACTATTGAGTCAGAAAGTAGGTCCAGCATGGCGTCCCAATGGCAATATTCTCAGCCTTTCAGATACAAGCTGGACTTCAACTCCAATGCCACAGGTTGTGAGGCATGCGGAAAGGTGGATTGCGGTGAAGAGTGGTGGCCACACCGCAATACCATGGCATCCCAGTGGGGGTGATCCAAGGCTTTCAGGTAAGAGCAGAGGTGTCTTGCATGAAGATTCTGGAGAGTTCTGAAATTGTAGAAAATAATAATTGTAATAACTAAAAAACGGGCAATCTCACCAGAAGAGGCGTCTTGTTGGCCACTGCCACCTTGCGAGTCTCGTCCTTCCTCCCCGCAAGCCCTCTCGGACTCCTCGGGCTCCTGGGACTGCCCGGGCTGCCCGAACTTGCCGGGCTGCCCGACCTGGCTGAAGGCGGCGACTCGTGTTTGAGGTAAAACAGCTTGCTGGCAGCGGGGGAGTCCACGGCTCGCACGGTGACCTTGGCACCGTGGTCTATGAGCAGCTTCGCCATGGTGACGCTGCGGGATGACTCGAAGTTGTAAACTGCGACGAAAATAGCCGTTATACCCTGGTTGAGAGAGGGGGGGGGGGGGGAGACGAAGGAGAGGAGAGGGGAATGGGGGTTCTGATGGCTCGCTTGGTGACCTTGGCGCCGTGGTCGGTCTATGAGCAGCTTCGCCATGATGACGCTGCGGGAGGATTAAAGTCGAAGATTGCTGTCATGCCCTGTTTAGGGGGGGGGGGACATGAAGAAGAGGAACGGGGGAAAGGCGATTGAATAATGGTGACACGTGGCCGTTTGAGCACTCTCAAAATCCACCCCTTGGTCTATGAGCAGCTTCGCCATGCTTACGCTTCGGGATGACTCGAAGATTGCTGTCATTCATGCCCTGTTTAGGTGGGGAAATGAAGAAGAGGAACGGGGGAATGGGCGGCATGATGGAGACTTTGGCCGTTTGAGCACTCTCAAACGCCACCCCTTGGTCTATGAGCAGCTTTGTCATCCTGACGTTTCAATAACGCAGGCACACCCACCCTCCCTCCTCTATAACGCAGGCACACCCACCTTCCCTCCTCTATAACGCAGGCACACCCACCTTCCCTCCTCTATAACGCAGGCACACCCACCTTCCCTCCTCTATAACGCAGGCACACCCACCCTCCCTCCTCTATAACGCAGGCACACCCACCCTCCCTCCTCTTTCTCTCTCTTCCTCGCTCCCTCCTCTCCTTCCCTCCTCCCTCCATCCCATCCGCGCACCTGTCCGTTGTACTCGTTAATGTCAACCTTCCTATGCTTCAGAAGCGCCGCGACGCCGTCCACATTCCCCGCAGCCACGGCGCTGAAGAACGCGCCTTGGTCCAGCGGATTAAGGAGCTCACCGGGGTCGTCATAGAGACCTAAGGCGCGACTCGACTCCTGCTGCACGGAAGGGGGCTTCGACCCCGAGTCTAGCGAAAGGCTGCGAAAGCTGTGGTGTGCAGACGCCATGTGGTTACCACCAAAATACTGAGCTACGTAAGTTATGTCCCTCACGCCTCGTATTAGCCTACTCTTACTGCGGTGAAAAGTAGAAATCTAGCAAATATTTAGAAGCCTGCTGTAGGACTGTCCTTAGTTCGTGTATCAACGTGTTTCTCAAGAGCCTAGAAGTACTAAAGCCGTCGCAAATTGAGAAACTCTGGAACTGACGCACAGGACCTTGCTTGTATGGATGAGTGCTGGTTAGGTTTCGACTGTTGCTCCTGTATCCCCTTCTTCCTCTCTTATATCCTCCTGAACTGACTGGGGCTCGCGAAACCCTGACTCGGGTTCGCGAAACCATCTTCACATGCTCCTGCTGCTTGTTCCCTCCCTCGTGTTAGCTGACTGAGATTCCGTGCGCTGCTCTGTACTAGGAGACGTACTGACGAAGAGGAAATTCCCCCTCTTAGCAACACCGTCGCTCGCACTACTAGGCACTGCGCGCCGCTGCGTGGAAATGCGTTGTCGCGCTGAAGTTGCTGCCACGAGGGATGGCGTCACGGTGTCATCATGCTTCGATGAGCGCGTCGCATCATGATGTCAAGAGAGATCGTGAAGTGAATGGCTGGGATCGAATTGCATTCACAAGCCGTTTTCTTGTTATTCGGGCTTTTCTGTGAACCCAAGAGAAATCCACATGCACGGGCCGAAGCATGGCCGAAGCATGGCATGTAGAAAATGGTTTTGTGTAGGCTTCAGCCCATGGCTCGAACGCACTGCGGTCTGTCTAGGGTTCCACCACAGCAGCAGTGGCAGCAGCTCCGCTTTCGTGTAGGTGACGTGATGTCTTGTGCTGACCTGGTTTGGGCTTTCCCCAACACCACCCAGCATAGCTTTTGCCGAGGTGACATGCAAGAGATGTGTTGAGTTGACACTTCAGGTAGAGGTCACGCTGACTAAAATGTCTTCCAGTCTGATGTCATTTGAACAACTGTAAAATACATGTCGACGTCTGATGTAGCTGGGCTGGCGGAGTCGTGGATTGGGTGAAGCAAAGCTACACAAGGCTGGGCAAGGGCTGATAGAAAAAGGCCTTACCGGTATCACAAAAACACTCAATTCAACGTGAGGTACAAGAGCTATGTCTTTGACGGAGATGCACATAAAGAGTCGTCGAGCAAGATCCTAGAAGGGTCGTAGCTAGCGTCAACCCTAGTTGAAACAGTGGCGCTGTTCTGTAGGCGTTGAATTTCGAAAATCTGGGTCCGCAGAATCTTCGCCGATAATTGGGTTTCTGCCTAACAAGGTTTGGTGATAAGCGAAGCACTGCCAAACCTGTTTGCGCCAAATTTAACGCCTCTGTCAGCAGAACAACACTTTAGGGGCGCAAAATTTTAAACGTTTGCTGGTTCGAAGATGTTGCTTCACCGGACAAATGGACACACAACTAGTGCGGTGCTGATTCTACCTCGGGAGCTAGCATCAGCCTCCGCACAAGTTATGCGGGGCAGCAACATCCACGCAACGCAACCAGCATGAATGCGCCTGGAAAATACACGGAAGGCTAACGCGGTCAAATTGGTGCGGAACCCTAAACGCCTGCAGAACAACGCCAGTAAAAAGGGGTATGGCCGACCTACGCCATCCGCCCTACAGCGCACGACCACACACCCCAAGCGGCGATTCCAACCCCGCCGTTTCTGTTTGGTATTTGTGGCTGCGAGACTCGAATGATTTTACAACCAATTGTAATACGCCACAGACGCATCGCAAAAGGGGGTGTGTAGGGTTGAAGGGCTTTCGGAGCCCCTTCCCCCAACCACGCGCATCCACGCCATGACGCGAGCTTTGTGGTTGGCTGTTTCGTTACGAGACAAGCAATGACATCCGCAAGTGTGAACACCTCCCCCCACCTCACGAACTCCAACGGAAACCGCAAAACCTTCTCACTTCGCAGAAGTGGTTACTCGTCGTTGTCCTGCCCTCAAGACAAATCCTCGGTCAATTCACCTGTCGTTAACCCGGTGGCGGCACTAGCGAGAGCTAGCGAAACTCGGTGAGTCCGCGCGGTGCGTCGTTTTCTCGGAGTGTCCAGTCCAGCCAGTCTGGTCCGTCTCCCACCATCCATCCATTGTACCTTCCTCTCCCCCTCCACCGCCCCGCCTCATCTCCCCTGCCCCTACCTCGTCAATACCGAGGCATAAACTGCGCCTGTGTTCTTCCTTCGTCATCAATCCCTTCCCGCCATAGTACACCTGTCATCTCATCCCGTCACTTTCTAAGGGATCGCTTTTTATCCCAGCAAGCACCCGTTGCTGTCATTTTCCGCTGTCACGTTCCGTACTTGCCATCCTCGCCACGACCGCTAGTCCGCCTCCCTACTCCCTCGCCGCGCGGTGCCCTACATTCGCTACTGACTAGTTCTGCTCGTTGTGTCTAGCGACCTAGTCAACCGCTCAGCTGCGACTCCCTCGCTGCAGCATACGGGCCCCGCATACGGAAATCAAAGCCGCCTTCGGGAGTAGACGGCGTTCCCCTTATCTTCGGCAGAGGATATTACGCGGACTACAAGGCTGAGGCCGTAACACGTGGCAAGCGAGGCATAGCATTCGACAGCCACTCACGATGTTTCAGGCCGTGAGCACACGCGATTTCGCCAGCAAGCGGCGATCGGTTAAGTTAACTGCTGCCGGCAGCACTGACGGCCGTTCAGTCCGGCCTTCGCCGTTCGCGCGAGCGTCCACCACTCGCGGAGGCTCTTCCGGAGAAGGACGGCGAGGAGGTAAAGGAGGAAAAGCATCCGCGACCGACGCGGCGGCTGCGGGGGCCTCGAGCAGAAGCCGGCGCAAATGGGCGCAGTCGGGAGGCAGCCGCGCGGCGCCATCAACGGCGGAAGATGCGGTGCAGGCGGAACTCGCGGCGACGCCGGGACTGCTGGAGCCGATGCGCATCGAGCTGATACCCGAGGTGAGAGGGTCCGTTCACACGAGGCTCTTGAGGGTTGTTTCCAGGGAGCTCTTGCGCGAAGTCATGATTCTCTTGACACGAGGCTCTCAAAAGTCGATACTTAATTTTCCACCGTTTGCCAACCTCTTCGCTCCAGCGTCATTGCTTACATCTTCCTCTCTTTCCTTCGCTTTTACTCCTTTGAATTCATGCACATGGACAGCGGCACCGCCATCTTCCGCCACATGGGTAAGTGCTCCGTGCCACCGCCTCTCCGCCCTCTCGCCCCTCAACTTCCCCCTCTCTCCTCCCTGTTTCCCCCTCTCCCCGTCCCCATCCCTCCTCCCCTTTCTTCCGCGCCCCCTCCCCCCGCCTCCCCCCTTTCTTCCGCGCCCCCCACCAGGAGGGGAAGGTGGACTGCTACCGCATAGCGGCGGGCATGAAATCCCGGCACCCGCCAGGCGTGATCTACGAGCTGCTGCGCGACTTCAAGCGCGCCCCCGCCATCTTCCGCCACATGGACAAGTGCTCCTCCGTGCCGCAGCCCGACGGCAGCCTACTGGTCGTGCAGAACGTCAAGTGGCGGTTCCAGCTGTTCTCGGGGAAGTTCGACCTGGCGCTTTACTGTCATTGCGACGACGCGACGCGCACTATCACGTACCGACTGTAAGTTCCTTTTTTCATGCGTCTCAATAAGGGGTGCAGGACGTCCAGTGGCGGTTCCAGCTGTTCTAGGGGAAGTTCGACCTCGCGCTCTATTGCCACTGCGACGACGCGACGCGCACTATCACGTACCGACTGTGAGTTCCGCACGTGCTTTAAACGGGGCCCGTGCGAGCAATGGTTTGTTCGTTTGGTCTTGTTTCTTAAGAGAAACATGACTCTGATCAAACCCTCACTCCGCTTTCCGTTTCCATGTCTCCCCTCCTCTTCCTTTCCTCTCTCTCTCTCTCTCTCTCTCTCTCTCTCTCTCTCTCTCTCTCTCTCTCTCTCTCTCTCTCTCTCTCTCTCTCTCTCTCTCTCTCTCTCTCTCTCTCTCTCTCTCTCTCTCTCTCAGGGCAACTCCTGGATTCATGAAAGACTTTGTCGGCACATCAACCATTCGCAGCCTTTCCCTCCCTCACGCCTCACCCTCCTCCGCCTCCTCCTCCCTGCCTCTCACTGTTCCCGGCACACGCGCTATCAGCCACCCTCAGCCTCTGCTACAACCAGAGCTACAGCCTCAGGCACCTCAGCCTAAGCCCTTGCACCCGGCGCTACCGATAAAGCCAGTACAGCCGCGCCCCGCGCTACAGCAGCGGCTGCTACAGCTGCAGCAGGCAATTCCTCTCGGCCGCTTCCCCGCTCAGCTGCTGGCGTTCGGCCGAGTGGCTGTGGGTGAGCCTCGGATTGAAGGCGAGGGGTTAGGAGGGGGGATTCTGGGTGGATGGCCGAGGATGGGTGCTGGAGCTGCTTCTGGTGCGCCCCTGGCAGCAGCAGCAGGAGGAGCAGCAGGAGCAGCAGGAGCAGGAGGAGCAGCAGCAGCAGCAGCAGCAGGAGCAGGAGGGGCAGTAGGGAGCATGGGAGGAGGAGCTAAGATAGGGGGGGTCGTTCAGTGGAAGGGTGGCGTGTCGGCGGGTGGTGCTTCGGAGCTGGTGAAATGTGGACCGTCGGATTGTGGGTCGGAGATCGAGATCGTCCAGAGGGTCGAACCAGCCAACTTGCCGCTCGGTCCTTTGAGTAAGTGCCCTGCCTGCCCCCAAGTGTGCGTGCCCTTATGTGTGCGCGCCCCCAAGTGTGCGTGCCCCCAAGTGTGCGTGCCACATTGCTTCCACATTTGCTCACTTCATTGCTCTTGCATTTATGTGCTTCTGTCGGAGTGCCATGAATGCCCACCCAATCGCTTCCCTTACAACTTTTCACTCCGCCCTTTCTTAGTCTTTGATTTTCCTTATGTGCTGCTCCCCCTTCTCCTGCATGTGAACAGCCCAGTACATCTTGGGGTACATTATGACGGCCCAGATGCGAGGTCTTCACCTTTCCTCACCCTCCTGTTTTGCTCACTGTGCTGCTCCCCTTTGCCTGCACCTCTAACAGCCCAGTACATATTGGGGTACATCATTACGGCCCAAATGCGAGGTCTCTTCCATGACTTGTGCGTGGAGGCAACAAACATTGAAGCGAGGAACCTTGCGGAACAGGAAAGGTTAAAGGCTGTCACCGCTGCCGCTGCTTCCAATGCGGGTGCTGCTGGTCAGGAAAGTGGTTCTCAAAATGCGAATAGTGTTTCCAACGTGTTGGGTTTGTGGAATCGCATGGCAGTACGGGTTGCTCCAGCTTGAGCCCGAGACAGTCAAAATATTTGCTATGTTTCTTGTTTGTTTGTTTTTTAAAGCTCAAGGCCCAAATTGATCAACCTTACTAAGGTTGCCCTTTGGGTGGTGGGAGAGGAAGGTCGACTTTTTTTTTTTAAGTTGGGCTGTTCAGTTTCGCCCAGCTTCACGCTTCTCCCTCAGGGTTTTCACTGACTCAACAAACCCCAGGGAGCAACTCGGTCTGGTTTCTCGAGTCCCAAATTGCACTCTCAATATTCTTGGTGTTTCCTTCTCTCCTATTCGACAAAAAACTGCTGGCCAATCAATTGCATCGCACATCTCGTAACCACAATTCGCAACCAAACAATACTAAAAACACCACTCTCATCAACTTTAGTAATCTTGCCCCGCACTCTGCAATTTGGGCCTTGAGCTTTAACATGTCTTGTAAACATTGTCAAATGCACATCTGTGATTTTTTTTTTTTCAAGCAGCACAAGTGGCGTTGGTTGGATTGGAGTGGATATGTAGTTGGCAGAGTCCAGTATATCTATCTATATACATCAGTGTTCTCTTTGTATCCGTGGATGTTAGATTTAAGGTGGATGCTAATCCATGTTTTCTTTGTATCGAGTCACACGCCTCGATGTTCCCAAGGTCTGATCCTGATATCGTTTGCAGGTGAAAATCGGTTCAAAGCGGTTAACTTATCAAGCATCTTGAATGGAAAGCAAAAAGTGTCTGCATGAAAAGCCAACCGCGATCAGACTGCACAATTGCACGACACGGGTATTTAGACCTAGATTTCTTGCGCATTGACTCAGATCGCCTAGACGGACTTACCTCTTGCGATTGTCCCCGTTTTTTTGCGTCGCTTTCTATTCGGTCGGCGCAATCCAAAGATACGGAGGGACCTTAGTCCTCGTTACAAGCTTCACGAGACTCGGATTACTAATAGCTCAGGATCCACTCATAGGAGTGCGTCGCTGTCACGCGTGGTAAGGCCACGTGGCGCGGGTTTTTTGCACTTTGAGCCGACTTGAAAGTCTCCCGCGTGGTAAGGCCGGGTGCCGTTGGGTTCCCACCGTGAGATCAAAGCACCCGTTTCACGTCATCTGCGAGACTGATACTTTTCGTAGCTAGTATCGAGGAGACTACTAAGCGGGACTTTTCCATCTCGGTTCCAACTACCACCTGTCGTATCACCTACCAACTACCAACTTGAGTCAGCTTATAAGGGGTACTACTACTAGCGGTGTCAGTATGAGCTCCGGAGCGCATACCCAGCATCTAGCCAATCCAGGAATGCCACCTGGGCCTCCGCCTGGTCCCCCGCCTGGCATGCTTCCAGCATCCGGGCCATATTCAGGCAACCCATACGGAGCCGCCAACGCACATAATGCAACCTCCTATTCTGCTCCTAATTCTTCTTACGCTCCTAATCAGTCGCTTCCCCTTCCGCCTCCGCCTCCTCCGCCCACCAGCGGAGACCTTCCGCTCCCCCCTCCTCCGCCGTTCCCCCCTCCGCCGTCCGGCTCCCACCAGCCGACACCTCCTCCCCCGCCCCCGCCCACGTCCGATCCCCCGTTGCCCCCTCCCCCACCCTTCCCGCCCGCGCACTCCGCGCTTCCGCCTCCCCCGCCTCCCCCATCCGGCACGGGGACTCTCGCGCTTCCGCCACCCCCTTCCGCCGCGCAACCTCCTTCCGCGGAAAAAGGTCGGCATGCGGGGGGGGATGGGCGGAGAGACAAGCGTGGAGCTGGCGGGGATGGGGGAGACGGCGGGCGGAGAGACAGGCACCAGCATAGTCACCACTCGCAACAGCCACAGCATCACCAGCACAAGCCGTCCCAACCAGGATCACACCAGCATAATCAGCAGCACCAGCAGCACCAGCAGCAGCACCAGCAGCAGCAGCACCAGCAGCAGCAGCAGGGGGAGAAGCACAGGCACTCGGCGCACGCGCAGGCTGGGGGGAAGAGCAGCCACGGGGGCGGGGGGGTTGGGGGAAGCGGGGCGCTGGTCCCTGCACGCGGAAGGGACGCGTCTGGGGGAGCAGCTGGGGGGGGCATCGGCGCAGCAGGGGGAGCAGCAGGCGCAGCAGCAGGGGGGGCTAAGGATGAGAATCGGCTGAAAAGGCTGTCGACTTTCTTGTGTAGAGTGAGGTGCGAGGGGGTGCGGTGGGATGCGGTGGTGGGGATTTGAGTGAGTGAGGGCCAGGGGGTTTTCATTGGGGAGGAGATGGGTTTCCATGAGGGGATTGGGTGTGGGGGGGGGGGGAATGAAGGAGAAGGGGGGGGTGCTTTGAGGGGTGGTTACATAGGATGCAGTTTTCCTGCGGCATCGTCACCCAGTCTTGGGCTTTAAGGTGGCCAAAATCTGGTGCATCGACTCCCAACGCCAACCAACCAGTCTGCTGCACTATCCTCCCTCACTCTACACTGTTCTCCATGTTCCCTACGCTTCCTCAAACTCCCCCACACGTGTCCTTCATCTCCGCCACTGTATGCCCACTCACTCCCTCTCTCGCTCCCATCAGGTTCACGTCACCAGCAGCCTGCCAGAGCCAGCATCGCAGCCAAAGCTGCTGCTTCGTGTGTGTGTTTGAGTATTTCTGCTCTTCCCTTCCCCCACGCCCCTCCTCCTCCTCGCGCCCTCAGGTTCACCAACAGCCTGCCAGAGCCAGCATCGCAGCCAAAGCTGCTGCCTCTGGGGGGCGACCCCCACCGATACTCCGCCTACCACGTGTCCACTCTTGAGGCGGACCACCGGCACCGCCTGCACGTGGAGCCAGACCTGGGCATCCCATTGGACCTGCTCGACCTATCCGCTTACTGGTTAGTCATTGCAGTCACATTTCCTCCTCACACCGCCAAGCCACCTTCTTCTCCTCTGCTTCCCCCTCTCACACCAAACCAATGCCCTTCCCTCGTGATAAAACAAGTGGTTTGAGGCTTCTCAAAACACTTCTTTCATCACACCGCCAAGACAGCTTCTTCTCATCTGCTTCCCCCCTCTCACACCAAACCAATGCCCTTCCCTGTGCCCCCTTCCTGCCCCCTTCCTGCCCCCTTCCTGCCCCCTTCCTGCCCCCTTCCTGCCCCCTTCCTGCCCCATCCTGCCCCCTTCCTGCCCCCTTCCTGCCCCCATCCTGCCCCCATCCTGCCCCCATCCTGCCCCATCCTGCCCCATCCTGCCCCATCCTGCCCCCATCCTGCCCCCATCCTGCCCCCATCCTGCCCCATCCTGCCCCTTCCTGCCCCCTTCCTGCCCCATCCTGCCCCATCCTGCCCCATCCTGCCCCCTTCCTGCCCCATCCTGCCCCATCCTGCCCCTTCCTGCCCCATCCTGCCTCATCCTGCCCCATCCTGTCCCCTTCCTGCCCCATCCTGCCCCTTCCTGCCCCATCCTGCCCCATCCTGCCCCTTCCTGCCCCTTCCTGCCCCATCCTGCCCCATCCTGCCCCTTCCTGCCCCATCCTGCCCCATCCTGCCCCTTCCTGCCCCATCCTGCCCCATCCTGCCCCATCCTGCCCCATCCTGCCCCATCCTGCCCCATCCTCCCCCATCCTCCCCCATCCTGCCCCATCCTGCCCCTCCCCCTCTGGAAGAAGATGATGAAGAAAGGGGGAATCTTCTCTTTTAAATTGCCTCTTTCACAGAAGCCAATGCCTCCCCCTCTCTTCTCTTCCCCCACCCCGCAGTGCCCCGCCCCCCTCCCAGCGCCCTCCGCTGCACCCAGCAGATGCGAAACTCCTGAGGGGCGACAACGCTAGTTTCAAGCACAGGGAGGGCGCGGGGGCAGCAGCAGGGGGGACAAGGGGTTTTACATTTTCGAAGTGTCTCTCTCTCTCTCTCTCTCTCTCTCTCTCTCTCTCTCTCTCTCTCTCTCTCTCTCTCTCTCTCTCTCTCTCTCTCTCTCTCTCTCTCACCCGAGCCATTCCCTGCCCTTGTCTGTCCCCCTTCACCCCGCCACCCAGTACCCCGCCCGCCCCCCTCCCAGCGCCCACCGTTGCACCCAGCAGATGCAGAACTGCTGAGGGACGACGATGCCAGTGTCAAGCACAGGGAGGGCGCTGTGGGCAGCAGCAGGGGGGACAGGGACAGGGGGTTCTACCTTGTCGAAGTGCCTCTCTCACATGAGCCATAGCCTTCCCTTGTCTGCCCCCCTTCACCCCACCACCCAGTGCCCCGCCCCCCTCCCAGCGCCCTCCGCTGCACCCAGCAGACGCGGAACTGCTGAGGGACGACGATGCGAGTGTCAAGCACAGGGAGGGCGCGGGGGCAGCAGCAGGGGGGGCGGGCGCGTTGCGTATGAAGGAGAGGCCGACAGATGCTGGGCTGAGCTGGCTGGTGCACACTCAGTACATCTCCGCTGCTGGCTCTGGCAGTGCGCCTAAGAAGGTGAGGGGTGGAGAGTGAGAGGGCAGGGGGGGGGGTGGTTGTGTTTCTATCTGTCTGTTTGCTGGGCTGAGTTGGCTGGTGCACACTCAGTACATCTCCGCTGCTGGCTCTGGCAGTGCGCCCAAGAAGGTGAGTTGGTTGTTGCTCTGTTGGGGTGGATGATACAAGGGGAGGGCCTAATTGGGCTGAGCTGGGCTGAGAAAGTGAGCTGGTTGCTCTGTTAGGGTGGGGCGCTGAGTGGAGAAAAACGCATCTGAAGCATTGCGTTCTGCGTTTGAACGCTTGCGTTTGAACGCAAAACGCTGAACGCACAGAAAAACGCAGAACGAGGGATTTTTTTTTCCGGTCAGCCCGAACGTCGTTTTTGCCAAAAATCAACCCCTCCCAACCCAAATCGACCCCTGGAAACCAGCCCTTTAACCAGAATTCCCAACCCCCCACCAATATTATGGGAAAGAGTATTATGTGGGGGGGAAAAAATGCTCAAATCTGTGCTGTGTCCTTCTCCCCCTCCTCCCAATGCCCTATTAGAAGTTTTTTTGTCTGCCCAGAAGTTTTTTTACCCTGCCCGGCCCTGCGTTTCTTTAGCGTTTTCATGACCCCCAAAAATGTGTTCTGCATTTTAAATGCAGCGTTCAAACGCCAGCGTTTAAAACGCTGGACGCGTTTTTCTCCACACAGGTGGGGCCGAACCAGGCTGAACCTGGCCGAACCGGGCCGAACCAGGCTGAACCAGGCTGAACCGGGCTGAACCGTGCCGAACCGGCCTGAGTTGACTCATACGCTGGGCTCTTTCCACTGCCCCCAATCGTTCACTGTTCTTGCTGGTTCTTTTTTCCCACTCTTCTCTCCCTCTCTCATGTGTTCTTGTACAGAGGGTGCTTAATGAGAAGGAGGCAAAGCTGCTGGCACTGCAGCTGGAGCTGGCAGATGAACAGATGTACAGTACAAGGTGAGTGCTCATGTGTTTTTATATACGTATATATATATATGTACGTATGCATTTCTATGTGTATGTGTGTGTATATATATGTGTATTTGTGTATATGCGTGTATTTCTATGTACTTACATTAAGTATTTGTGCGTATATATGTCCGTATACAATCACCGGTATCGAGTTAAGCGATCATATTTGCGCATTGTCCCCCTTTCTCCCTCACCTGCTCTTTTTTATCCTGCCCCCCGTTCCCATCTCTTCCAGGGAAGGGCAGATCCGGTACATCGAGGAATCTTTTCAGGCTGCCCGGAAGCCGCCCGTGCATCCGTCGAACCCGAGTCTCGAGGCAGTGGAGGTGCTACCTGTGCTGCCACTCTTTTCTCTCGCCGGCCGCCAGTTTGTGCACCTCGTGTTTGATGACACTCCACTGGCTGACTCGCCTGCACATATGCACCTCAAGGAGGAGCAGAAGAAAGAAATGGAGGCGCGGGTGAGTGCGTGTGTGGATTGTAGCGGTTATGTACCTGTGTGAGTGCACATGTAGCGGTTATGTGCGGTTATGTATTGAGTTGAAACCCCCCCTTCAGTGGAGGCCTGGAGGCAGTGGAGGTGTTACCCGTGCTGCCGCTGTTCTCCCTGGCGGGCCGCCAGTTTGTGCATCTGGTGTTTGACGACACGCCTCTGGCCGACTTGCCCGCGCACATGCACTTGAAGGAGGAGCAGAAGAAAGAAATGGAGGCCCGGGTGAGTGGGCCTTGGGGTTTCCCTTGTATGAGCGAGCGAGTTTTGAGAATTCTTAGAATGTTACCACACTGTCACATCACGCATGCATGCGCCCCCCCTCCACCCCTTCCTCTCTGCCTTCCTCTCTGCCTTCCTCTCTGCCTTCCTCTCTGCCTTCCTCTCTGCCTTCCTCTCTGCCTTCTTCCCTGCCTTTCTCTCTGCCTTCCTCTCTGCCTTCCTCTCTGCCTTCTTCCCTGCCTTCCTCTCTGCCTTCCTCTCTGCCTTCCTCTCTGCTTTCCTCTCTGCCTTCCTCTCTGCCTTCCTCTCTGCCTTCCTCTCTGCCTTCCCCTCTGCCTTCCTCTCTGCCTTCCTCTCTGCCTTCCTCTCTGCCTTCCTCTCTGCCTTCCTCTCTGCCTTCCTCTCTGCCTTCCTCTCTGCCTTCCTCTCTGCCTTCCTCTCTGCCTTCCTCCCTGCCTTCCTCTCTGCCTTCCTCTCTGCCTTCTTCCCTGCCTTCCTCTCTGCCTTCCTCTCTGCCTTCCTCTCTGCCTTCCTCTCTGCCTTCCTCTCTGCCTTCCTCTCTGCCTTCCTCTCTGCCTTCCCCTCTGCCTTCCTCTCTGCCTTCCTCTCTGCCTTCCTCTCTGCCTTCCTCTCTGCCTTCCTCTCTGCCTTCCTCTCTGCCTTCCCCTCTGCCTTCCTCTCTGCCTTCCTCTCTGCCTTCCTCTCTGCCTTCCTCTCTGCCTTCCTCTCCGCCTTCCTCTCTGCCTTCCTCTCTGCCTTCCTTTCTGCCTTCCTCTCTGCCTTCCTCTCTGCCTTCCCCTCTGCCTTCCCCTCTGCCTTCCTCTCTGCCTTCCTCCCTGCCTTCGTCTCTGCCTTCCTCTCTACCTTCCTCTCTGCCTTCCTCCCTGCCTTCCGCGCTGTCTCCCTCCCGCGCCTCCCTCCTGCCATCCAGGCGATAATGAAGAATTTCAAGGTGGCAGCACCGGGGGGAGGGGAGCCGCAGTCGTTTGTCGCTTACATGGTCCCCAACAAGCGGGAGGTGAGGGCTGAATGCATGCATGCCATGCGATGCGATGCGATGCGATGCGCCTCGTGATAAAAGTGATGTTTTGAGGTAAGGAGGTGAGACGTCTCAAAACAAGCGGGAGGTGAGGCGGAATGCATGCATGCATGCATGCGATGCGATGCGCCTCGAAGGAGGGAGAGTGAGGGCTCGGGGATTGGGGAGGAGTAGTGAGCGGAGGGTAAGCACAGTGCCGTAGACATGAGCATCGCACGAATCCAAAATCCAAACACGTTTGATTCGAACCTTTTCGAACACCTAGAAGTTTCGAACCGAACGTGTTCGGTTCCCTCAAACACTTTTTCAGGAAACTCATGTTCGAGTGTTCGCTTTCAGAGGCGAACACTTAGATGTTCGCGGGAACATCTACGTGTTCGTTTCGTAACTCAAACGTGTTCGAGTTCGCCCCTGGATTTTCCACTAGTCCCCCGATCTCGTCCCTAAATCAGGTTATTCCTTGGAAAGAAGAGATGGAGAGGTCGATAAGCGAATGCCTTTCGTCACAGGCGAAGGGTCTGTCTGGACTACAAGTAACGATTAGCCGCGTTTACTCTAAAGTGGATCTGCTAAAAACGGGCTCTTAGTAGCGGAAATGCCTAAGTACCTGTTCTCGGCTTATGTTTGCGTACACGAGGAGCCTAAGCCATGCTAAACTAAAAGCAAGAGATCGAGCTCGAAATGAGCTCAATCTCAGATCTGTGCAGCGCAACCCTAAATTGGAAACCAGCGCGGCCAATGTCGCTCTGGTTTTTATCGCAAACACTTTGATGTTCGCGTAGGGCATTTCGAACTCGAACCCGTTCGAGTTTGAAGCGGCGCGGTAAAAAAACGCATTCGAACTCTAACATGTTCGTATCAAACCTTACTAGCCTCGAGTCGAACCGAACAGGTGTTCGTGAATATGCTCATGTCTACAGTGCCGTGTGCATTCCGTTGTGTTGTCTGCCAGAGGTTCCTAGCGGTTGATGTTTCTCCAGAAAAGGGGAGGAGAGCAACAGGTTCTCCCTCACTTTGTTCATTCGTGTTCATTTGTGCTTGTTCCACCCCACTTGGTGTCCTATGTGGTTCTCAACCAGCACAAAGTGAGGGCATGATGAACATGCCATGCCACGATGAACATAAAAACACGATGAACATAAAAACACGATGAACATTAAAACACGACGAACATAAAAACACGATGAACATAAAAACACGATGAACATAAAAACACGATGAACATAAAAACACGATGAACATAAAAACACGAGGAACAAATGCACATGATAAAAGCATGCATGCACATCGTGGGATTCTTTCACTCATCCTGACACGCTCTCAGCGTGTTTTGTATAGTATTGTCTCTTCTATCCTGCCCTGCACCTGCTTCTGTTTCCCATTCTCCCCATTAATCGGCTCTTGAGTGCAGCTGGGGAGGAAGCTGAGGGACGGAGAGAGCGCACGGTACGACTGGGTTCGAGAGTATCATTGGAAGGTACGTATTGCTTCATACATGATGTTTTATGAGTGGAACGTTTTGCTTCATACTTGATGTTTTATGAGTGGTACGTATTGCTTCATACATGATGTTTTATGAGTGGTACGTATTGCTTCATACATGATGTTTTTATGAGTGGTACGTATTGCTTCATACATGATGTTTTATGAGTGGTGCGTATTGCTTCATACATGATGTTTTTATGAGTGGTACGTATTGCTTCATACATGATGTTTTATGAGTGGTACGTATTGCTTCATACATGATGTTTTTATGAGTGGTACGTTTTGCTTCATATATGATGTTTTTATGAGTGGTACGTATTGCTTCATACATGATGTTTTATGAGTGGTACGTATTGCTTCATACATGATGTTTTTATGAGTGGTACGTATTGCTTCATACGTGGTGTTTTATGTGTGGTAATTATGTGTGTATCTATGTCTCCAAGAGGAGCACGAGTGGGTGCAAGGGTACCACTGGAAGGTACCGAACATAAGTGCAGTTTTTCTATATATACGTCTGTATGTATATATATATATATATATATATATAATTTCCCGTCTTTTTTACATGTAAGGCGTTGGAGCCATATTTGTTCATATGTCCTCAAGGGTGAGCAGACTGGGAGCTTCTATTCTGTGAGTGCGTGTTTGTTTAATTGTTTGCTTTTTTCTGTTCCAACTCCAACTCCTCCGTTGGAGTATCCCCAAAAAAATCATTTCGTATTTCCTGAAAATCCTCTCTCCCCTCACATTTTTTCCAATTCCCGTACTGATTGTAAGTCCTTTTTTTTTTTTTTTCAGGTGGCCAAGGGAGAACAAGGGCGAGGAACCTTCCTCTTCTGTTTCAACAAGGACAGTGTGAATTACCTTGTGAGTCAATTCCTGTGTCAAACCTTCTTATTGTGCACGGATGTACCTGCACACGCTTGTACCCTTGCTGCTCGTTCTTTTCTTTCACACTCTTGCTGCATAGGCAATCCAGTACGGGCGCGGCGTATCGAGACAATCCTTCTCTTTTTTCGCTCCCTCCCGAGTTGACTTTTTGAGTCACCTCAAAAGTCACACTCTTGCTGCATAGGCAATCCAGTTCGGGCTCGGCGTATCAAGAAAATCCTTCTCTTTCTCGCTCCCTCCCTCGTGGATGTAATAGTCTCATTTCGGTAATTCATAGAAAAAAGTAGCCCTTCCTGCTCAGGAACTAGAAAGGCTCACTTTCGGCCCGTCGTTGACCCTTTACTTGGTCTCTGTCCTCTTATCATGCGTCTGTCCCCCCTTGTTCCACCAGCCAATCAACACAAAGCTGACAGTGGCGAAGAGAAAGGCAAAGGAGGGAGGCAAGGCGAAGGGCGAAGAGGGAGAGAGAGTAGAGCTTCCAGTTCCCTCCAAGGTATTGTGTTATGTTTGTTGCCCAGATTTTGTGTTTACCGCCCAGCTTTTGTGTTTCCCGCCCAAATTTTGTGTTTTTGTGTCCCATTTGAGAGGAGATTCGTGCAGGGGAAGGAAATGTAAAGTAGGCTTATTTTGATACAATTCCCATAAGCGAATTTTCTTTTTTCTGCTCTCTTTCTGCCCTCACCCTCCCACCCACCCACCAGATCAGAGTGTGGAATCGATCGGGGGAAGATGCAGAGGAGGGGGATGAGAGAGGGGAGAGGCGGAGACGTGCAGCGGAGAGAGAGGAGGACGAGGAGGAGGAGGAGCACGAGGGAAGGAGAGGGAGGGGAGCGAGGAGGGGAAGAGACGAGGAGGAGGAGGAGGAGGAAGAGGAGGAGGAGGAGGAAGAGGAGGGAGAAGAGGCGGAGGTATGGGAGTGAGGAGAGAGAGGAGAGGGAAGAGAGGGGAGAGAAAGGGGGGAGGGGGGGGAGGGGTGGTGGTGGGAGAGGGGAGGAAAGTGACGACGAGGGAGATAGGCACAGGAGGCAGCAGGAGCGTAGGGCAGACAGTGGTAGTAGCGGTGGTGGTGGTGGTGGTGGCAGAAGAGGTGGAAGGGGTGGTGGAGGGGATGGGGACAACAGTGAGAGTGAGGGTGAGAGGAGGGGGAGAGGGGAGGAGGATGAGCGAGGAGGGAGGCATGGAGGAGCGAGATATGAGAGTGACGAGGAGAGAGGGGGAGGGGGAGGAAGAGGTCACAGGCGCGGGATTATTGAGAGCGATTCCGAGTGATTGGAATCTTTACTACTCCCCTAAATTCGAGTTATCCAGACTAATTTTCGCGTAATCCAGAGTGGTTCAGAGTGGCTTAAAGTGATTATGAGTAGAGGCTATGCGTCTATCCAGAAATACGACTGCCAGGGTTGGTTGGTGCAGTTTCAGACGAAGCAGATGGAGTGAAGATTTCAAGGGTGGTGGTGAGGATTCAGACAAATGGGTGGTGGTGAGGATTCAGACAGATGGGTGTGGGCTTTCAGAGGTTGCGAGTGCGACAGGGACAGCAGGGAGAGATGGGAGAGGTGAGAGGGCTCAGAGGGAGGGGTAGGAGTAGAGCAGGAGAGCTTTAGTGTAGTGTCGATAATGGTAAGGCTTGGAGACGAAACTCCAGGGGAGTGTGGTAGTAACCGAGTGTACTACTTGATGGTGGTGCTGCTGATGAGGAATGGAGACTAAATAGATAGCAGCATTCAGACATGCATCACACTAAGATGTTTCCCTGTGTTGGGCTGAGACACCCTCAGACCACACTGAAAGATGCAATGTAACCGCTCCTTTGAAACGGGCATCACGACCCGACTTCAAGTACAAACTCTCGGCCTCTCGTCTTGTTACACTTACCGTTGGTTTTTGGGTTGTTCCTTCATGTGGCTGCCTAGCCAAGTGCCGATATTGTATTCATCGTGATTTGTAATTGCATTACTACAACGCTCCCCTGTGTCGGGCCGAGCCAAGAGACACCCTGAAAAGGCACACTACGGGCGCGTCAGATCCGTTACAAGGTGATTTGGCTGGAATTTGGTCGACAATTTGGTCGACTAAATCTTTCGCCAAAGTCGACAACAGGGTCGACTTCAAAAGCGACCAGTATCCGGCCACGTTTACAGGGCCGAAAAATCTGACACATTTGGTGGCCGATTTGCAGGCCGCTTTGCAAATGTGTCAGATTTGCAGTTCGCCAGGGTGGCCAGTACTTGTGTGACATGTTGCGTCGCACGAGTTGGCGACGTCGCGTGGGGACTATGGCGATCTCAGGTCGACAAATCGGTCGACTTTCGAGTCGATAGGACGTCGAAACTTTGTCGAATGCTGAATCAGCCATCAAATTTTTTACAAATGGCCGGATTTGGCGAATTGCACGAAAATATATGCGACTGTCGCAAATGTGTTACCTTCGCTAATTCCGGCCGGCCGGATTTTTCGGACACCGGATCTGACGCACCCTAAAGGATGCAATCATTCTTGCTGGAATGGGCATAACGACTTCAAGAACGAACTCTCTGCCTCTAGCCCTGTTATGCATTGGTTGCTTGCTTGTTCCTTCATGGGGTTGATCTATATTGGATGCAACATGAATGCTACAGGAAGGAACTCACTTCAACATACGAATTGACGAAGGGTGAGAGCAGGCAAGCATTCCTTACAAGGATTTGCACACAGTTCTGTGATACGCATGGTTAGTTGGTACCCTAATCACTTGTTTGTCTCAAGTGCAAATGAGGTACCGTAAGTTGGATTGGAACTGAGCTGGTATGCTTGTTGTGATTACCATATGTGTTTTTACTTGAAGCCATTACAGGGAACGCCTATGGTAGTGTTGTTGCTATGCTAGAAAGCCAATACAGTATGACTGTCAGACATTTTGCTCCCTAGAGGCCTAGGTACGGTATGTCAGAATCCAAGCCATTAACCACTGGGATAAAAGGGCTTGTTTGTGTAACGGGTGAGTGCGCCCATAACCCCCCAGGCCAACGTGCCTGTAACCCTTCACTAGGATCAATCGGGGATCACCAGTGGACCTCTGACACCCCCTCGCACTGGGATGCACTAGGTGCAACACTGGGATTCGGACCCGAAACTTTAGCTTTGATAACATGTCAGAATCCCAGCCACTAACCACTGGAATAAAAGGGCTTGTTTGTGTAGCGGGTGAGTGCGCCCATAACCCCCCAGGCCAACGTGCATGTAACCCTTCCCTAGGATCAATCGGGGATCTCCAGTGGACCTCTGACATGGTAGTACGGTACTACAACAGTCTCCCGTACACTGTAGTACATCAAAATAATGTACCGTATCGCCCCGGATAAAAGCGCAGGCCTATTAAAAGCGCATGCGCTTCTATCTGGAGCAATGCGCTTATGGCCGATCCTCAATTATAAGCGCACCCCCTAAAAAAACTTGATTTATTATAAGCGCATGTTAAATTCCACAATAAAAATGTGTGCAAATACTGTAACGGTTTTCCCTTTAGCAGGTGGATGTGTTGCAAATTCGGTTCTCCTCACATTCGAACCCTGCACAGAATTCGAGTCCAGTCTGCATGAGCTGTCAGGGGCGCCTTGTCAGTCACATCGACTGTATCTGCCAGCCGCGCGAGAATTTCACTCACGACCCCCTGTAACTTCGACTCGATTGAAAAAGCCAGCACGAGATCTACAGCTTGGTGATCAAATATTATAAATCTATACTTGTCATTTTATAAGCGCATGCGCTTATAAAAACGACTCAATTAGAAGCGCACCCCCCCAAAAACACTGATTTATTATAAACGCACCTGCGCTTTTATCCGGGGTAATACGGTATGTCAGTGCTGGTCTTTTAAATGCGTGTCAAGCAAGGTTTGCACAATCAAGGGCTATGCCATATTGCAACAATACCCAAACAAAGTAACATACCGACAAGATGTTATACCAAAATCCCCCAAATATAAGGTATGCACGAGAGTTTTTGTCACGTATAATAAGAATAAATATATAAATAAACAAGTATTAATAAATTTCTTTTTGTCTAGTTGTCTGGTTCCCAAACTCATTTTCTATGGTTCATGTTCAAAATACTAGGAGAGGAATGTGAGATTAGGTCAAAGGAGGGGATACAAACCAAACTGTCAAGAGAAATACT